GGGGACCTGCCGAGGCAGATTCTGGAGAAGCACCCAGAGGGCATCCAGGGAAAACAAAACCCATCAGGAAAATGAGACACCAGCAATCCCAGCATATCCCCAGGGGCACGCAGCCAGCTGCTGGGAGAGTCCTCGTGCCCCACTCGCGGCCCCCGGGGGCTCCCAGGGAAGCAGCCGCCACCACGCAGGCGCTCTGCCCTGTTGGCACGAGCGAGAAGAGAGCGGAGCAGCTGCGGGCGACCAGCGTGAGAGCACCCGGGGCCTCAGGGAGCCGAGGGGGGAGGAAGATGGGAGCACAGAGAGGCACCAGGACGAGGGGTACCAAGAACGAGCTCCGGTACAGGCACCAGTGTGAGGCTGTGAAGAGAGCTGCGAGTGTGCCCGGGCAGCGGGCGTGCTTCTGCACACCGCGTGTGCCAGTCCTGCGGGGCCGAGGCGCCAGGCAAGGGGGACCCCAGCTCTTCCAGGTAGCAAAAAGGAGAGAATAAATATAAAATTTCAGAGCAGAGCCCCCCCCGCCCCCCCGGGAGGAGGGTACTAAGGGCGGTTGGTTTCTCCCTCGGAAGGTGGATAGACGGAGGTGTCCCACAGCTCTGCAGCGTGGGGCCGCTTCTCACCCTGCCTCAGCTGAGGAGGTTGCCCTGCTCCTGGGCTTGCGTCAGACTGTCCTTGCGATGCAAGTGGTGGACCCCCATCCTCTTGGGGCTGCGGTGCGGCCGACCGAAGGGAGGCTTGACCTTGCCTTCTCCACCTTCCTCTTGGGCACCTCCTTGGTTGCTCTCCTTGCCTCCCTGCAGCAACATTTCCCTCTCCTCAGCTGGGCTCTCAGGCAAGCCGAGGTCCACGTAGTCCTTGTGCTTCTCTGGCGAGGGGCTTCCAGGCTCAGCAGTGCCTCCGCCGCTTTCCTGCAACAGCTTCTGGGCTTCATCCTGGGAGAAATCTGTACCGTAGTCTGAGGAGAAATGGCTCCTGCGAGCTCTGGACTCGGTGCTGTCTGTGTCCACGCTCGAGTCCCGGCTCACGGTCCAGCTGCAGCTCTGGGCAGACTCCTCACCATCCGAGTAAGCCGAGGCTGCCCTACCCAGCTCCTGCATGGAGCGGCTGAACCTCTTCTGCAGCTCGGGGGCCGTGTCACGGCCGAAAGCCGTGCGGTTCATCAGCACCCGCTCCGAGGTGGGGGGCGCCTTGTCCACGAACATACGCTGCCAGTTGGCCAGCAGGTCCTCCTCGGAGCTGGCGGAGCTGGCAAAGGCGCTCGGGATCTGCGGAGGGCTGCTGAAGGGGCTGCTCTGGGAAGAGCCGTGAGCCCGGGCGGCTTTGGGGGACTGCTGGCAGGAGCAGCTGGAGGCCGAGCGGTGCCCTTCCGAAGCGGGGCTGCTGGGGAGCGTCCGGTGCCGGTCGCAGCTCTCGTCTTCGCTCTGCACCAGGCTGAGGGAGATGGCCTGGCGCGTGGCGTACGTGCAGTTGGGCAGGGGGCTGTTCTTTGGGATCCTCACCTTGTCCTCCGAGAACTCAATCACTTTGCGCCCGGGGTACATAGGATGGGGAGGCGAGGGTGTCGGGTACGGGCTCAGCTTCTCAAAGGCAGGCGCCTCCTCTGGCACGCTTTCCACGCTGCTCTGCGGCTTGCAGCCACCGTTGTGCTGTTTCCCCACATCTCCTCCCTCCTTCCCCATCTGCCCTGCGCTGTGGCAGGCATCAGGAGGGGCTCCACTCATGTCCACGTGCACAAAGACATCCTCGGCCATGGGACAGCTGCCGCTGCTAGACTTGGCTGAATTCAGAACCAGAGATTCTGGTTTCTCCAAGACTCTGGCAATGACCGAGGTGGGCACAACATCGGATGGAGCCAATGTGTGGGTTGCCTCTTGACCAGGCCCTGCAGACTCCTGAGTGCTGTGCAAATGCTTATTGACCATGTCCTGCAGCTCATAGGGAAGCTAGGGAGAAGGAGAAGGACATGAGAAGGGGGCTGCCACACAAGCCATTTAGTTCCAAATAACCTGCCTCTTCCAACCAACCTTCGTGCGTACTTTGTACGCCTTATCTTGACCCTAACAGTCACCTACTCTGCCTTGAGAAAGGTATGTCCTTCCAAAGCAAACCTGCCCCACGAGGGACTAACAAGGCCCCCCAGCCGTCACACCAGTCGTGTTTCTAGGCCATGGTTCACAGGCCCCATTTTGCAACAGGAACCAGAAGTGGCACATGGGCTCAGCCCCCCACGCTGGTGAGCACAGAGCCGAGGCCCCGGCAGCACACGCTAGGAAGGGGGCTATTGATCTGTGGAAAAATCAGCTGGTGGGTGCACTGAAGTGACTCAACAGCCCCCAGTGCTGGGCTCCGCAGTGCTCCCCGCGCGCGGTCACTGCAGCCACGCTGCCCTGGCAGCCTGCCCGCAGACCAGGATCGATGCCTTCCCTGGTGCCTGCCGACCCCACCACCTCACCCCACTCCCTCCCTCGCTCCACCTCAGAGAGGCAAACGGGGGGTTTGTCACCAAAGCTGCAGGACTGGAGTCTCCACTGGGGGGGGGGGGGGGTAAGCACCACTCCTTGCCCTGCGGCTCTCCCCATCGCCCTGCCAAGCTGCCCTCGCCGTGGTCACCACAACCATGCAGAGCACGGGGAGCAGAGCTCCACAAGCCACTCGGGGGCACAGCAAGGCCTGTTCCACCCCAGCCAGCTGGAAGCTGTGCCCAAAGCTGGGGACACGGGGCACGCTGCAGGACAACCGCTGGCTGAGGCAGCCTGCCCGCACAGCTGCTCAGCACCAACCCCCCTCCAGTGGCAGCCACGTGGGACGCGGCGCGCCGGGGGGCAGAATCCAAAGCTCCAGGGAGGGGAGACAGCTGGGAGAGAGGTCAAAGTTACCCCAGCAGTAACTGATACACCGACCTCAGGAGTGCTAATTTGAGACACAATGGGGGAGGGTGACACACTGGTCACCTGCTAAGTTAAAAAAGACAAGCACGTGGGTTTGCCGAGAGGAACATAAGGAGGGACGGAGACTCGGGGTGCGGCAAAGAGAGCGCTGGGGTGAGGGCCTGAGCGATCCTCCCAGCCAAAGGAGCGACGCTACTAATGTGAAAGGCCTGAACTCCATCTGCGCTCATCCTAAGGGCAGGATGGGCTGTACAGACCCCACACGGGGGAGTACGAGGTGGTAGCAACTTCTCCCATTCAGGAGCCCCAGAAGACACCCTGAGTGCTGTCTCCCACGTTTCTCCTCAAGAGTGAGAAGTGAAGCAGGGCCAGACTAACGCTGCTTGACTCCTTATCGGGCAGCATGGCCCTTCCATGTAGCCAGGTGAGGAAGGGAAGAGGACAAAGCAGGGTAAGAGAGAGGTCTGTTCTCCTGCCAGCTCCCATCAGGCACCCAGCAGGCTATCAAATTCAAGGTTATTGTGCTTTTTATAACAGCTCCTGGCTGAGCTGTGAAATGGAGCTGGCGTGAAAGAGGAGCTGGCAGAGGCTCTGTGCTGCCTTTTCAGTGGGAATGGGAACAGGAGCCCCCCCCTCTAAGGGAGGCTGAAGGAGGAGAGGCCCACAGCCCTGCAGAGGAAGCTGGAGAAAGCACGATGCCGAGGGAGACCACGAGCCCTTCTCCCCCACCTCAGCAGGACGGCTACTCACGTCAGCAAACTTGTGGTTCCTGAAGTGGGACTTGTTACACTTGAGCAGCTGCACTGCAAGGTTGCAGTCCTGTCGATAGCGTTCCTGCAAGAAAGGGCACACGTGCGCCACGGTGTGAGGCTGCCCCGCTCTCTCACCCGGAAAGGCGCCACCTGACCAGATGCTGCTTGAACAGAAGCAGGAGGAGGCGTCCGCCGAATCGCTCCTGAGGGCGCCTGCCACTCCCTCCTCTCCACACCTCTGGGTATTTTCTCACATTCAGCCAAGGTGTCCCACCTCCAGTCCTTGCTCCAGGCCTATACTCTCTGTCCGTGTACCAACCCCCTCTCCCTCCCTCTGGGGATTTTAACAACCTCCAGAAGTCCCACCAGATTTGCTATCCCATCCCAGAGCCGCCAGCCACGCCTGAAGACACTGCCTGATGTCGGGCATCTTGCAGGCAGACAGACTGGACAGAGTTGCGAGCAGTTAACAGAAACAAGCACCAGATCCAGGAACTTCTATATTAATGGCATCATCTCCCTCCCAGCTCTAGAGTAAATGACCCCTCCGTTGGTACAGCCTGGACTCAGGTCGATCCCTAAGCTCGAGAGAGAAAATACATCCAGTTTCAAGAGCAGTTCTTCCTTGCTCAACCCCTCAGACACTTTTCTGTCTGTCTGTCCCTCCTGTCGTGTATTTTCACACTTCCATACACAGTGACGTCATTCACGTGCTCCTTTACACTTTGAACCAGAGGAAGAGCCCACACCTCACACGCTTCCGCAGCCGTTTGCAGACTGACACTTACATTGAGTTCCTCCAGCTTATTGATGGTGGTTTTGGCATCAAGCAATTTATTAGTGAGCTCTACAATCTCCCAATCCAGCGTCTTGCGGTCCATCTCTGCCTTTTTAATCTGGGATGCAAGAACACCAGGTGTAAATCTCCCCAGCCCAGAAGAACCTGGCTTCACCACCCACCTCACCCCAAGCACGGCACAACGACACGTTCAGCTGGGATACAAAGACTTCTGCACAGACAGACAAGGGCGACAGCCTGGCTCTTCACCAAGGGGGGGGACTCCAGAGGCCAAACGGAGCCAGCCACTCTGCTAACTGCAAAGACAACAGGTTGAGTCTGAACCTCCTCAAGGCAGTATCTCTTCCTGCAGCACAACCATGTTTCCTCCCTGCCCTGGTTCACACAGGGCCTGCTGGAACTCCAGTGGTTTTGAGCAATCAATCCCATCCTGCCACTGGCCATGAAGACCTCTGAGCTTGGGACACCCAGCCCACATCTCTGGGGCAACAGAAGGAGAACACTGCCCATAAAGATCCAGCAGTCAATGCTGAATGGACAAAAGGCTTTATTGGCAGGGAGAGGGCACCATCTTGAAAGAGTTTAAGCCTTGCTCTAGTGAGAAAAAGGACCTGTGTAGCTTCACCTGGACATCAGTTAATGCCCTGCCTAAAGCAGGCAATCTCACCTCTTTAGACTCCCTAACAGCTCAGGTACAGGGCCGACAGGGACCCAGATGTAACAGCAGAGAAGGGCAACAGCTCAGAACCACCAAGCCATCACCTTCTCAAGAAGTTCTTCCAACTTCTTGTCCAAGGGTGCTCTGAGACTGTGACCACCAGGGCTGAGCTGTGTGTGCTGGGTACAACGCAGCAGCACACGAGGGCTAAGGGAGGACAATGCCTCCCACGGGCGCAGTCTCTTCAGGCGCCACCATAACGAGCATTTACCCAAGAAATTCAAGTGCTACAACCAAAGAACTCTCATCCTGGGCAACGCGGCGGCAATTGGCACCTCAGCTGTTTGTCCTGCTTGCCCACAGCCCAGAAGGGGAAGGGAGCAGACGAGGCTTACGGCCATCCACACCTCGTGCAGTGCCACAGCCTATGGGCAGCCCCACTTCCCAGCGCGCCACGCTCCAGCTGGCTCGGAGTCAAAGGCTCCTGAGATGGAGCCGTGCAAGCTGGGACCTGCTGCATCTACGGGCAGCTGCTGGATCCCAGGTGAGCCCTTGGCTGGACGAGGGCCGGGGCCCCTCCATCTGGGATGGCGTATGGGAGACTGACAATGGAACCAACAGGCTGAGACGCGTCAGAGAGGAAAAAGAAAAACACACAAACGAAAAGACGCAACTGCAAAAATCCAGCTTTGGCTGAGAGAGGCCTGAGAGGTAAGTGCGCCCAGCGTGTGCCAGCAGCAGCGTGGGGAGGAGAAAGAGAGAGAGAGGGAGAGAAAAGAAACAGCCATGAGTGTTATGAATGCACACCACAGAAATACACGCACGTCAGCTCTGCCCTGACTGCCCCCGTCCTCCCAGGATGACCCCCCCAAGACTGGCTGACACATCCCTGGCATTTTGAGAGGGACTGAAGCAACACGACGGAACACCATGCAGTTATGTTGTGGGGAACCAAAGCTCACGTGCATGATCAAGTAGGGGCTCAGTAAATCAAGAAAACAGTTCATGACACCAGCCGGAATGGGGAGTAGATGGTCATGGCCAGAATCTCACCCCTCACCCACTGCCACATCTGCTGGGTAAAGCCAGCGCCCCTTCCCCCATCTGCTCCTAACACACAAGTCTCTTCCACCTCCTCTCCGTAGAGACTGGCACTTACCAGGGCATGCAGCTTCTCCTCCAGGTCCTGGTTGGTTCTTTGGGAAGCGGTGTAGCTGTTCTGCAACCTGCAGAAAAAAAGGCTGTATACGTGGGAATGATCTCAGGCACCTCCTCAAGTCCCCTTCACGGCTGCCAAGCACCACAACTCCAGGAAGACTGGTACGAAGACAACTCGGCATATACACCATGCCTCACCTCTGCCACACAACGGCCTTCAGAGCCCGAGTCACTGGAGGCAAGATGAGGTTGGCTGGGTGAAAGGACCTTGCAGAGGAGGGTGTTAATGGCTTTGGAGGACTCCTCTGAGCTATGTCATGTATAAGCACGTGACCAGTGACTGGCAGTGATTTTTAGCTGAGGTACTGTTCAGGTAAAGTGGGGATTCATTTTCTCGTGGCCATCAGGAGCTCCTTCTGCACACATGGGTAACCATCCAGGCTGGATCCTGCCTTACATCCAACAGGTGAAGAATTCCCTGTTGCTGTCAGACCCTCACTGCTGTCACAGCATTCCTACGCTGTACCCTGGAGGAAGGAATGGCTGCAGAGCCTTTAACAGCCCTACAGCCCGGGGGTGCACCTTTCTGAGGACATGCCTTTGATTTCCACAAAACAGGGCACGGCCTGCTCACGCCAGCTGAGCGAGTCCTTGGCGGGAGGGATCTCTCTAACTCGACCCCTCTCGCTTTCTTTTCCATACCTACGGAACTTGTCCTTGAATTTCTCCAGCTCCTCGCGGTTCTGGCCCAGCTCCATCTCCAAGTAGTCCTGACCCGACTCCAGCTCCCTCTCCATCGCCTCCATTTTGTTAGTGACGTAGGTCAGCCGGCGGCGCAGCTCCTCGTTCTCGTGCTGCAGCAGCCTGGGGCACACAGGAACGAGGTACCACTGAGTGCACAAGGGGGACCCCACACCAGCACCCCCACCCCGTTGCGCTGCTCTAGGGCCCAAGACCCCCACACAGGGGGCCCCGGGAAGTCAGGGACCGAACTGCCAGGCGACTCCAGCACGCACAGCAAGAGTGCCTCTCTGTCGGGAGAGGGAGACTCAAAACTCTCTCGGAGCCGGGGCAAAGCAGCGCACGCCAGCCGGCCAGCCCCGGCTCCCGGCTCCCGCTCAGGTTACAGGGCTCAATAAAGCCCACCAGCCAGATGAGCCGTGCAGCTCCAGTGTCCCTCACCGGTGAATGAAACCCACTCAATAATTTATCCCAGTCCAGGCTAGAAGAGCTGAAGGCAAAAGAAGTAAAATCATCTCCTCCTCCCCTGAAACTGCCCCAAAGCCCTCCTGCCTTTAATACGTGGTGGAAAGAGGCCTCCTTACGGCCATAAGCCCAGCAGCAGAGGTGTGGGGGGGGGTGTTTGCAGATGGGATCACAGCTGCCAGTCACCCCATTCCAACACAAACTGCTCCATTCCTCCGCAGCCAGGACATGCCTGGTGGTCAGCAGGATTTCCTGTGGGTTTTCATTCCTTTGGGCTCAGTCGCCTGCAGAAACCCAGCAGCGCTGCTTCTCCCTGGCAGCGCAAGCCTTCTCCTCACCAGGGCGTGCAGCTCAGCGCCAGCAGCTCCCTGTGCCCCGCGCCACCAGCAGCAAAGGGCTCAGCTCTCGCCCTCAGTGAGCAGCACGCCTCTGCATGCCGTTTCTGGCGCCTTACACCAAACAGTGGCATCAGCAAGAAGGGCTAAAAAAGGCATTTTTCTCTCTCCACCCGTACTAAAGGCTTCATCTCCTACTTTCTTTCACGCCCACCAACTCCTCTGCCTGCACCTGCACTGGGGGTCTATGTTCCCTCTCCCTCCAGGGGGAGAGAGATGCAAGGCAGAGCTTGGCAAGGCACAGACTAAAGCTCTGCCCACACGGCCCCAAAGAAGACTGAAGCTCCGAGAGGGGCCTGCAGGGCCACTCAGCCTCGCTGTGCAGGTGGCACAGGCAGGGTGTGAGGAAACAGCACCCACGCAGTCGCAGTCTGACAGGCGTCAAGGGGGAGCAGGACACTTACTTCATCCTTTCTGCATCCGTCAGGGGTTCCTGCACGGGGAAGAAAACAGCTGTGAGATTCTTTCAGAGCAGGAGTCTGTCTCTCACCCTGTCCTAAAGGGCAGAGTCTTGGTTGCTAGACCCTGCCTGTGGCTATTCCTCACCTGCTCTGACAGGTCACGCTGGGCAAGCTTAGAGCTGCTAGGATCTGTACACAGCGCTCAGCTGTCTGATACCAACACAGACTGTGTGTCCTGGTTCAGGGTGGAGGAGCTAGACTAGAAATCACCACACAAGTTAGGTAACTTCACTCTCCCACGGCGCAGTCTCAGCATCTCTCGTAACCTTGTCACCTCAACCGGTGTTTCAGCTTCCTCCGCATCCACAGTGAGTGGGTAGCAGGAATCTCACAGGACAGCATACACAGAGGATTAAACTGTCACCGCAGCAAGCACAACACCCTTGAAGCCCCACAAAAAGGAGGAGAGAATCATTTGGGAGCTGAATAATGCGTCTACCATTTACACCACCTGGATTCTGCCGTGAAAAGGGTTTCTTTCTGCAGACCTGAAACTAGCCACTGTGACTATTCCGGGATAGCAGAAGAAACACTAAAGTTCAGAAAAGCCTGTGAAAGAAATTAACGTTCTGGGCAACAACCCCAGAGGGGGCTGAAGCAGGGATGTGCAGGCAGGGAGGAACGGCACAGTGACAAGAGCACACAGCTCAGCTACTCTCACCTCCTTCGCACTCTTTGTGTTAACCCATGAGATGGCTGCTGCCTGCCAGCACGCCTGGGAGAGATTTAATTGGCACTAGAAGCAACCATGCTATCTACGAAAGCCCAAGACTGTGACCGTTCTCACAAAGTCCAAGATGCCCATGGATTATTTCTGGTGCTTGGTACCAACAGCACTGCCCAAACTTACAAGTGCCACACTTCAGGCTGCCCATTAAGCGTCACAGTCAGCTCTGGGACGAGAGGCCATGCCACAGGCAGTTGTGGATGAGGCTGTTGAGCTGCTAGTACCATGACAGAAGGCAAACCAGCCCAGTCCTGGCCCTAAGACATCATGGGGCTGCTTCCCTCACCAGTTCACACTTTAAAAGAACGGTCCTTACCACCTGCACACATCCTCCTGTCCCTAAAGGCAAAGCCATCCTTCTCTCACATCCTGACCCCCCACGGCAAGTGGTTAATTCATGCAGAATCATCTAGCAACTGCCTCCCCTACCCCCCCAAATACAGACACAGCAGATGTTCGTGACCAGGTAAAGGGGATAAGGTGATTCCTCTTAAAATGACACGATGGCCCCACAGCAGGCTGGAGAAAAAGAGGAGGCGGCTCACCAAGACCTGAAACCGCCATCATATAAAGACCCAGCGCCCCGAGACAGCCAGGCACGGGGCACGCACAAAGCGCTAGGAACGTCCCAGCACCTCCTGACACCAGAGCTGCCTGCACACGCCTGCTGCCCCGCAGCCTGACGGGCCTCCAGCCTGCGAGCGCCCGGGAAGGCTGCGGCAGGGAGAACAGCACCAGCTCCTGCCTTCCTAACTCCTGGGGCCAAAGGGAAGCTGGTTCCCCCCAGGAACATACACGCAGCCACGAGCGGCACCCACAAGAGAGCAGCTTCTGGTGACCAAGTACCCACAACACGAGGTCTGGGGGCCTGCTCTCGCTCTCCCCACTGGCATTACAGACTAGATGAGACCCAGGTGGGGGCTTTAGCCTTTGTGAGACCCCTGCCTGTGAGCCGGTGGCCTTGGCACCTACCTTTAGTGCCAGGCTGAAGGAAGGGGAGGATCTAGGTGGGGTAGGCCCCTCCTCCCGACTCCAGCGTGTTGGAGTGGAGAAGGACCCTTTCTCTGGGTAGTTCGGCTCCAGCGCACGCTTCTGCCCAAGTTCAGCACACAGGTGGTGTGGCTGTAACAGCCGCGAGCAGGGACTGCTTTCATCCCTCCTGCCCTCTGCACTGCTTTTCCACGGAGACAGTGAGTGCTGCTGCCCAGAGGACGTCCCTGCCAGCCCCAGGTCTGCCAGCTGCTGCGTCAGCTCATACTGACACAGATCTACCATCTTCCTCCCCAAGGAATGGAGTTTTTCCTTGCTGTCCTTCCTCCCAAGGACAGGTTTCTTTCTTAGTCTGGAAGCTCTCTCAGCCTCCTCAGCACACTTTCTCTGGCACGAAGCCATGACCAGCCCCTCACATTTCTTTTGTGCTTTTCTTCTGCTCGGGCAGGGGGATCTTTCAGTCGCACGCTTGGTTTTGACCCCTTGCAGGTGACCTTCCCCTTGGCCTCCTGGTACGGAGCTTCTGGCGAAAAGGGGAGAGTTCTGGTCTTGTTGTGCTCCCCTGGTCTCTCCTAGTGAGCGCAAGCGCATGGGACTCAGCACCCGCCGGGTAATCTCATCCAGGAATTTGGAGAACTGCAGTTTTTCCTCTGTGATCTTCTCCCTGCGCTTGACAGGGTCAGCGGCACCGCTGCTGCTGCGCTCCAGCGAGCGCTTCTCCCTGCGGCTGAGGCAGAGGTGGGGAGCGCTGTGCTTGCACGAGCCACGGCCACGGGAAAGCGTCTCCACGGAGCGGGACTTGCGTAAGCTCTCGGGGCACGGGCCTGTCGTGTTGGTCTGCTTCAGGATCCCTTTGAGAGGCAGCTGCGTAGAGGAGGCCCGAAACTTCCTCGGTGTCAGCACTTCAGGAGGCTCTTTAAACATAAGCGAGCGTTCCAGGCTTCTGCTCTTGAAAGAGCAAGCGGGATGGTGCCTTTCATCTCCAGACACCACGACTGTCTCCATGCTACGGCTCACAAATTTGCCGAGGTGCCCACGACCGCGGTTTGGGCACCGCTTCCCACTCCGCTGCCCCATCTTCCCGCCACGTGGAAGTGCCGGCGAGACAGTCTGGCTCTTGATGTTCAACTGTGCTCTGCACCCTGCCGCTTCCTTCTCACTGCTGGACTCCAGGGACCACGACGAGGAGAAGTTCAGGTTGCAAACCTCAAACCCCTCTGCCTGCTTGAGCTGGCCTGCCTCGGTGTAACTAAACCCCGTTTGCTGGTGCAATGGTGTTAAGCCCTTTGCCACCCGGCAAGCCGTTACCTGACTCTGCTCGGCCAAGATCACTCCGTCCTGGTCGTCACGAATGATGGGCACCTCGTGGCGGACCTCGCGGTGCTGCGGGGGCGCCTTGCGGTAAGGCTTCTTTGACGGAGCTGTGCTCGACATCCTCCCACCTGCGCGGCTCCAAGAGCGGGTTACCTGCCGACAGCAAAAAGGGCACAGAAGAGAGAGTCACGGGCGCTCCATCGAACCCTAGAAGTGACCCATTTTTTTTCCTCCGGAGTCCCCGAGCAGGTCCCCATGCAGAGGGCTAACAGAGCAGGGAAAGGACGTGGGCACCAGCCTGGAGCAGCAGCTGCAGGAGAGGGAGCAAAGTGAGAGGTAGCCGTGCCCTTCTCCCAGGCAGCGAGAGCAGAGGGCTGGCACATCCTCCCCCCTCTACACACGCTCCCTCACGTAGTTTGTGTGTGTCCAGATTATATATAGCAAACGAGAACAGACCTCACAGCAGCATATTGATCAGGCTCTTTAGGAAAGGCCTTTTCCAATATGGAAACTGCAAGCCTTACAGGCAGCAGTGACAGCTGGAGCAGGAGTTATTGATCATGTGCTGTCACTGTCAGCAGGGACTGTGTGGGAGGAGACTCCAGCCATTAAAGAGCCCAAACCCAGAAGTTTTTGGCTTACACCGGAACGCCAATGGAGCAGACCACTGGAGGCTTGTCAGGAGGTACCATACCATGACAACTGCTCACTCTGTCAGAAAAGACAAAGGCAATCTCCCCAAGTCACAGGCGGCATCAAATCGGGGAGCAATACCGTGGAGGTCGGTACCCAAGGGCAGATTTTGCACCATGCAGCAGTACCACTGGCAGACGAGTCCCTTTACCCCAGGCTGGGCTGGGCAGGATTCCTCCTGCTGCGGGAGCAGCAGCAGTACAAGAGCAAAACATGGGGCAGAAGGAAACAGCTCTCTTGTACCCATGGAAGAACCTCCTTCCTTTCCACCACTTTGGGACCGCAGTGGAGGGCAGGAAGGCTTCTGTCCAAGCAGGCAAGAGTTCCACCACCCCATTGTACCCACGACAAGAAGTCCTGGAGATGCCAAGCGGTCCCTGCAGAGCCCGATACCAGACTCCCCAATGACAATGTACGCATCACTCTCAGTCCCCCTACATTTGGGGCAAGTGCCCACTTCTCATTCCTCTTTCCCGTGATCCTAACCCTGATCAAGCCCAGCATCTCTGCAATCCTCAGCGCCCGACTTGCAGCACTTCAAAGTGCAGGACCCACCTCAACCCAGACCACCCTCTCACCCCTCTTCTAGAGGCAGGGCCATTCGACTCCCATTCACACACCTTCAAGGCAGTCAATGGACACCACCGGGCCAGTGACCTAGCAGGCTCCACTTTGTGTTTCGGCCAGTGGAGTTTTACATGTCAAGTGACTAAACAGAGCCCAAGAATTCTCTCCAATTCGTACCCATTCTTGCCTAGCTACATCTTCTTGACACTTAGGCTGAGTCCCCTGGGAGGACTGGCAAGCGTGAGGTGTCTGCCCCAAGCACAGAGTGGCTCCAAGCCACCACAGGATTTACACTTCACGGGAACGTTTGCAGGCCGTCCTCCACTCTGCTAAAAACACAAGCTCACAAAAGTCCCTCACGCCTTTCCACAGACACGAATAACTTCCCAGGATTAATCTGTAAATCTCCATCACCAGAAGGCTGGAAAATCCCCCTTGCTGCAGTCATTCCCTCAAGGTCCCTTCTCCTAAAAAAGCTCAAGGAGGTGAAGAGATCTCTAATACTTTAGAAAAATAACACCCAGCATACCGAATGCACATCCCACTGCATCCCCAAGCAAAACAGATGGGTCTGACTTGCTGGGAAGACATTTCTTCAAAGAGGAATGCTGAAATCCTGACCAGAAGCAGGTTTGTCAACGCCCCATCATCAAACAGGCAATCTAGGAGACGCTTCTGTCAATTCCTGCCAGGCTAAGGACAAGAGATGCACATGGAGATATCCTGAGCTGAAATCACAATCCTTTCTCCAGCCCACAATGATCTGAGCACTTACCAGCCTGGGGTCAAATTCGAAGCTTCATGAAGCAGGGACACTCACTCAGATGCCCTGAAGGAGAGAAGCAAACAGCTTAGCATCAATCCAAAGAGCCAGTTTGAAATCCCACCCCATAAATACGTAAGGAATAGGGAATGTTTACAACCAAGGACAACTGGATGGTCATCTCACGCCAGGTAACTGCCCCAACCCATATCAGATCTTCTGAAAGCAGAGGAAACTAGCTTAGGATAGTTGGGCCACATAGCCCAGCAAGACAGGCACCTGGCAAGAACATGTCCAAGGCACTCAGGCCACCAGGAACACAAAACCTCAAAATTTGTGAAGCAATAACTTCAAGAGAACTTTGGTTCCAGGAAGGACTGAAAAAACCCCCTGTGAAATGGAACCCTCCCAGATAATCTTCCCCACTACCAGAGAGGGATGCTAACTGTGAAGCCTTTCAGAAGCTCAGTAACGCTAACAATTACTTCACTCATCCTTTAAGTCAGTGCTGCTTACCTACAAATGAGCTAGCAATTACCAGACTCTAGTTTGAGCCAAAACGTGACATCTCATGCCTAAAACCCACACCTCCACGAGAGAGGAAAGCAAGCTACTCTGACTTCCAGCAAGCAGCATGCCATGCTCTACCTAGCTGCTAGCAGGCTCCTGTAAAGCAGGGTCCAGCCAACCACGGATACAACACAAGTTCAGAAACAATCTTCCTCTCTGTTCAAAGCCCAGGGCACCCATCACCACAACAGGAGAATTCGGTCGATCTGGGAGCCAGCTGTAAGAGCGTAACTCTGTGGCCACCACTGCCACTGGCAGGAGAGAGACTGCAGTAGACCCTTCCCTTCCCTGATGCACTTCTGCTGCTTTTTCCTTGCCAATGGCCCCAAGCCCTGGGAGGCAGGATGAGAGCACAGGGTGTGGAGCAGTTGTACGCACGCGGGGAGAGCCAGACCGAAGGTGAACGGAACAGGCAGGCAACCAGGACCACGCAAACTCAAGCTTTGCCAAAACACACTGAAGAGGTGCCCTGGTGCTGGCCCTGGCCCAACAAGCTGTCTGGCCCCTTTCCTTACTACAACGTTATAGTCGGGTCTCAACTAGCACGGGAGGAAAACAGCTTCACAACAGCAAAACCGCTCTGGGGGGCGAACTATAAAGTACGGGGGGAGAAAGAGGGAGAGGGAGAACGTGCACCTCCAGGAAGGACCAGGCCAGCACAGTTCGAAACTTCTTTTCCACCAACTCCCAGCAGGAGCTGGTTCAGCGTCAAGGCAAAACCAGCAGCCCCATGGGCTGGGAGGCAAGCGGAGGCTTCCAGGAACAGCTGCGCCCATGGGTCCACGCATGTTTCCATCGCAGAGATGCTCAGCACATGCCAAAGGCCTCCCTGTCTCTCAGCACACGGTTCGTCAGGCTCGAACAGGACTGTCCTACTTCCTACCCCAGAGCCAGCAACTATGCTACCTGCCATCTCCTCCCTACCTACCTGGAAAAGATACTGGGATTTGAAACCTACCCTCACGATCTGAGAATTTCCAGACACTTAAATATTAACAGTGCCTCCAGGCAACTTCCCCTCAAACAAGGACTTACAGATCCAAAGTGACGACGTGTCCAAACATTTCTGGCCGCTTGTCTCCGAATCAGCTCTCCCCTGTCAGCATCCAGCAGCATCTGGCCCACAGCTCTTGAAACATGAGAAAGGAAACCCGGTGTCAGTCACCCACCGGCACCACGCACAGAAACAGCCAGGCAGGCGCAGAGCAACCCACGGCAAGGTGCCAGCGCGGAGGTCGGCAGAAAACGGCTGCACCATCAGACAGCTATCTAACGCCAGGCCCTCCAGCGAAATAATCTCGTTGTCTTCACTGTGTCCCAGGAAAGGACGGTCTTTTAACCATCTCTCCACCGAGCGGGACGCCTGTGCAGATCACTAACCGACCTCTAAAAGGCAGCTGTTTTTTCCAGACGGCTCCAGGGGTCACTGCTTCCCCACCTGCATTCCTCTCCAACACCAGGAACCTGTCACTCTGCTCCGACCATTCTGCCACACCACCCTACCGCTGCTCTGCAGGCTCCCCTGCACTGAACAGCACGGCTAAGCCCTTCTTGCCTACAAAACCTGAGCACCCTTTGCTACCACAGAGAGAGAATCCCAAGGCGGCTCAATTCACCACACCTCTGTTCAGAGAAGAGATACTCCCTGCAGAATACACAGACCTTGTGCTCCAAAGCAGAAATGGATCTAGGTAATACCCAGAAATAGAAGGTGGCACTAATCCTGCTCACCATGTTATTCACACGCCTCTCTCTGAAGGAGCTTGCTGTCAAGTCCACATTCTGACTACCCTGGAGAAGCTCAGCTTTAGCCTGGGGCTACAGCAGGAGGTAGCTCTTCAGCTATTCTAATTAGCACTGTCACACAAGAGGAAACTTAACCTCCTGGTTCCTTTTATCTGCCCTTTCCATCTCTGATCAGTGAAGTTCCTTTACAATTCTCCTCCTAGCAGGCTACTGTCTGCAGTAGCTCCAATTCTACTGTCTTCTAGCTACTACCCACGGTAGTCCCAGGCTCGTTTCTAAGCTCACTAACAGTTACAGCTCCACTGGAACAGCTCACTGAAGGCTACAAGGCTTGTGCTCACACTCGTCAGCAAAAAGTCACATCTTCCAGGCAAACAGGCACGCACACACGAGACTCAGAAGACTGCAGTGAAAACCTAACAACTGACTTTGTTAACGCAAAAACCTGAGGATTTCTCCACCCCCTCACAAAGACAAAACACACACAATCTTTCCTCTTCACAGTGCGGGAGTGCAGTGGCAGTGACAGTGCAGCTGCACAGGCAGTATACAAGCTGGACTCCGGCTGTTTTTACCAGAGAGCACCCCTCATTGTAAAATCCACTTGCAGAGCAGCTATGTTCTCTGTGTGATCCGAGAGGGGCAAAACTTTTACCACACACCACGAAGAGATGTGATCTAGCACAGAATTGCTTAAGACCATTCTGTACGGGGCCCACAGCACTAACAGCCGCTTGGCGCGCAGGCAAAACCACCGCGCTACCTGTTGGCATCCCTGTTTCTCCAGTTACAAGAAAGAGGTCCGTAGCATACAAGAAAAGGTCCAAAAAGGAACCCTTTGGACAAAAAAGGCACAGAAGAAAAAAAGCAACATTTGTAGGCACCTACTGTCTTCCTGATACTTGGTAAGTCCCTTGAGGCCTGAGGTAGCTAACACCTAGCTTTGGTTCTAGGATGCACACAGTTCCTGCCCGCTCGTTGTCGCAGCAGCTGGACACTCCCTGCACAGAGGCAGAGGACTCGCAGGGTTTTCCTCATCATCACTTTCTCCGGTGTTGCCTTTTCTGACCTTACAAAACAGCCTGCTTACCAGTGCTCAGGGTCGGCAGTCTCCCTTCCTCAACAGAGATACGGTGACTATGTGCAGAGAACGTTTCTCGTTTCAGGCACTGTGTTATCTTTCCAGCCTTTTCCTCTTAAAAGCAGCATTTCTTTGACCTTGCTTTTTATTCAGAAAGATAAACTTGCATGACAGAGAAAATACATTCCATAACACAATCTGTCACATTTGTTTCCAATGCAGAGACATTTATTGGCCACCAGAGCCGGCATACTCTAAAAAACTCCCAGTGCAATACCGACGTGTAAATAAAAAAGAAAAAAAACAACAAAAAACGCTGCTACTGTCCTGTGACACACACCTGATCACCACAGCTAACCCAGGATTTTCACTCTGTGTGGGCCAACCTATACTCTGAAGGCATATCCAACACAGGACATTGGCTTTAGGAGGCAACAAGGTCTCTTCACTAACATCGTGAGAAGCAAAAGCAAGAGAGATTTGTCCAGTCGCCTTCCTGTGCTTACGGATAGAGGCAACCTTCGCTTCCACGTGCCTCAAATCAGACTACGTGAGAAGCTGCTGCAGTAAGCCCAATCAAGACAACTAATCAGCAAGACGGATGATGCAATAACTGCATCCAAAGGTCTTGTCCAGGACAGACAAACCACTCTCCATCATTTACCAGAAGTCC